GTACGATCTTATACTTTGGAATGTAGTGAAGTAAAAGTAAAAGTTACTCAAAATAAAACTACTCCAGTAAAGTAAAGATACTTGAAAAATGTACTTAAGTACAGTAACGAAGAAAAACTACTTCGTTACGGTCCACCACTGAGTAAACATGCTCAAAAGAAAATAATAAGGCTCAAGGTTAAGTAATGTATAAAGAGATGTAATATATAATAAAACAATAATGCAAATAAAAGAAGTGGTAAATGAGGTGAACAATCAAGCTCACATTTAGCTGCGGTGTGACTTGATTTCAAACATATCAGAATCAGAATGAGCTTTATTGCCAGGTATGTTTACACATACGAGGAATCTGTTTTAGTGACAGAAGCTCCACAGTGCAACAGAATGACAGTGACAAGAAAAGACACAGATAATAAAAAGAATAAGATACAAATATACAAAATAGACAATGTACAAAATAGCAAAAACACAATATATAATATAGACAATTATATATGTACAGGTATGATATGTGCAAATTTGAAATGTAATAAGAACGTGTGTTAAATAAATAATGTATAATAGTGTTATGTGTTCCACAGTTATTGTTAAATGTTCATGAGATGGATGGCCTGAGGAAAGAAACTTCCTGTGTCTGGCCGTTCTGGTGCTCAGAGCTCTGTAGCGTCGACCAGATGGCAACAGTTCAAAGAGGGAGTGTGCTGGATGTGAGGGGTCCGTGGCAGGTTGAACTTCCTCAGCTGGACTCATTGTGATTGTCCCACTTCAGGTCCTGAGACATAGTGGTGCCCAGGAACCTGAATGACTCCACTGCAGTCATAGTGCTGTCCATGATGGTGAGTGGGGGGAGTGCAGGGAGGTTTCTCCTGAAATCCACGGTCATCTCCACAGTTTTGAGCGTGTTGAGCTCCAAGTTGTTGAGACTGCACCAGACAGCCAGCTGCTCGACCTCCTGTCTGTAAGCAGACTCATCACCGTCCTGAATAAGGCCGATGAGTGTGGTGTCGTCTGCGAACTTCAGGAGCTTGACAGAGGGGTCTTTAGAGGTGCAGTCGTTGGTGTACAGGGAGAAGAG